TTGAAATGTAATTCAACGGTTTTAGTGATTCGGTGCAAAATGCCGTTTCGAGAATAATAGCCCTTTTGGACTAGCGTCCCTTTGGGCTAAAAATATTGGTATACATATTCCGTGAAAAAATACAGGTATGAACCTGTTTAAATCCTTTTAATTAATAGTTTTCTCTTAAACGCCTCTTGAAGATCTGTTCTAAAGAAGAAAGAATTAAATATCGTCTGATTTCAAAACAGTGATATTGCAATAAAACTGTAATATTGATCCAAGAATGTTTAAATAATGAAAGACTAGCTATATAATGAGATCATGGGAATCATGACAAATAGTCTCCAATGAAGTATTCAGAAAAGCTAATTCTTATACACTGATAACAGAACTAACGAAAAACTTAATTCCATAATACTGACTGCAGTATAAGTAGCGAAGTATGTGCACGAGGTTATTGCTGTTATTAAGGAGCAAGAGATATACCATAGCAACGACCCCAATGGGAAAGTAACTCATCCGTGAAGAGAGAATGAAATAAAAGAACTCCACGCTTAATGTAGAGTAAATTGTTAGTAAAGAAAGAATTCAAAATTTAGAATAATAAGAAAGAATTCTAAATTATTATTAGAAAGATTCAAATAATAAGAACAGAAAGAATAATAAGAAAGAATTCTAACTTATTATTAGAAAGATTCAAATAATAAGAACAGAAAGAATAATAAGAAAGAATTCTAAATTATTATTAGAAAGATTCAAATAATAAGAACAGAAAGAATAATACGAAAGAATTGAAAATTATTATTAAAACGAACCTTCTTCTTTTGTTTTTCCTGACATTTTTATCTAGAGCACATACAAATTTTCTATACATACATTTGATAAAGTAAAGTATTTTATAAATATTTTATGTTAATTGCTGAAAATTCTGGGAATATTATGTAACGTACATTTAAACCGAATCTGGTGTATATTTTTATTTATATTCGCCAACGTTTATCAACGAAAATATATAACTTTGTCACGTAATAAGTTCATAAAGCACATCCATTTATCCGATTTTTATGATTAAAAAATGGTCAATTTTATCATTGTTTACTTACGAATACGTGCCAATTTTAAGCATTAAATAAAATATAACGAAGTAAGTGAAATTTTATGTTATGTTTATATGTGGTTAATTAATGTTTATATGTGGTTAATTAATGTTATATGTGGTTAATTAAATTATATGTGGTTACATATACGAGTAATTCGCAAATATAACTGTGAATAGAAGTATAATAAAAAAAATCTGGAACGGTATTTTAATTTGAATTGTATCCATAAAGGGATTTCTGAGGGAGTCAGCTGAAACTACACAAAATTACATTTTGCTTTAAGTTATTAGTACTTTTAATCGTGGACCAACTGTACTGATTGCTAGGGCTCTAATAGTGTTGGAACCTGCTCTGCATTTATTTGGTAGTTTGATTGGATTGGATTATTCAATTATGGCAAAGCATATGGGGGCTATCTGCCTGAAGGGAGGGATGCCTTCGTGGAGAAATTTCTAAGGGAAACTGGCCAGTATGCTCGTTACGCAGGAGAAAAACCACGTAAACGCCCATGTAGCAGCCCGTTTGCGGGATCCGATATTTGGTAGTTTGAAAAAAAATAAAAATAATCTTTCTTTTTCTTGTATGATTCCTAACAAATAAAAATGGACATTTTGTTTTTAAGGTAATATATTATACTCAGATATAAATTAAATTCATTGATTCATTAAACACAACGAAATATCTCTTGCATGCATGTGTTTTATGTGTGAATATTTAGTAATTTACTAACGAACTTTAATATTTTGCTTTGGACCTTTGGATGCATCTTTTAATTTTAACGCAGTTAAAACATTTAGCCTTTATAATGAAAGTACAAATTTTATTAAAATATAAAAATAATGTATCTGATATAAAAAATGTTACATTTTGGATATTAGATTTTACTTGGTTGAATAGAGCTTGGCTGGATTAAAACACTGGGCATGATCTTTCCAAAATCGTTGAATAAAGCAATGCATGTTAGAAATACATATATAATAACAGCCATGATTTTACAAAATTTCATAAATTCTAAAATACAGTTTCTCAGTTTAAACAGAATATACTACAGCTGCATAAAATTTAAAAAAAAGAAAAAAGAAAACTGAATTTAAAAAAAAATTACTATAAAATTTAATAGCTTCTAACTGCATAAATCACTTTATCTTGTAAAACTGACGAATAGTATGAACATTTAAAAAATAATATGATTGCACTGATATTAAGTATTAAAATTCATTGTGTCGCAGTATCTTATGAAATAAAAAGAAATGGCTTTTAGCCCTGTTAACATATCTAGTCTTTGAGCAATACAGTATTTTTAAAAAACAAATTCGACTCAGATGAATAATGGTTAGTGTGTTTTAGTATCATATTCTTTGCGTCGAATTTTCACCTCTTCAGAATGCCATTTTGATGACAACGTTTATTTGATTTAACTCATCATACAAATTTCAATTGAAAGATCCATTGGTGAATATATCTCAGACGTATATGCTACTTTATACTCTGATATCAGCTACTTGAAAAAGTTCAAAGCAAGAACAATTTTACATACCCATATTTCTTGCAGTCACGGAAATTGCAGTCATCCAGTCATTTAGGCTTTAAACTCCTATCATTATGGAAATAAAATTTCAGACGATCACCATATTCCTAAATAACTTCAGATTAACTTTTATTTTTATTCTTTGAATTAATTCTAGCTTCTTTCCCGCTTAGAACTTCGCATCGGTGTTGCCATATCGTGCGAGTTTTCGCGAATTTGCTACTTTTAATGAATCTTTGCGATTACAATTTATGTGTATGAGATTCTGCGAAATTTTTGATACACTGTCATATCAATGTGCTATTAAGTGCGACTTTAAAAACTTTTAATAGATAGTAAAACGCTTATACGTTAAAATAATGTATCTGATAAAATAAGTTCTTAATAAATAGTGTTATTTAGGCTTAAATAGAAGTTGGCATCTGGCAATCTGTGATCATAAAGCAGGTGCAAATAATTTTCAGCGCCAATGGGTGGTGTTTTCGAGTGCTCAATTGATTAATTTGTTTAAAGTTTGCCAATAAGTCAAAGCACCTGTAGAAAGGGTATTTTCAGTAAAAATTTCAACTGAAACCAAACATCAAAGTAGGTTTTGTTTTGAACTAATAGATTCCATACTTCGAATAAAGATGCCAATGGAACATTTTATTTTTCCTTATTAAAATCCTGTAAAAAAATCAAGTATTAAATACAAAAGACAACTTTTATTTATTTAAAGTTAATTTTTCTCTTAACGTAATTTAATTCTTACTTAACGTAATTTTTCTCTTTTTCTGTGCCAAAAAAAATTCTGCTTAGAAAAAGGAGATGACATACATACCCGAAAATTTTTACCCTTTTGTTTTGTTTTTGGTATTTTTCCGATTCAGGATTTTTCTTTACTGATTTTTAATGGTTTTTACCGCAATAGAAGTCTAGATAATACTAATTTGAAATATTAATTACAGTACTGACTAAAATTTTTTCTTATAATAATTCATGCTTTTAAGTGAATTTCTGAATCTTTATTTGAATTCATTATATATATATAATGTTTATTACATTGTTAAAATTATTTTTGCATTTAATACAGAATGCATTCGATTTTCGTTAGTCAGTTATGCTAAATAAAACTTTTCATCTCTTAATTTTTTAAATAAAATTTTTAATATAACTTTAAGCTGTCATTAATGAGAATACCTAGCACGCCAGATATAAGAGAAACTGGAAAATAATTTCTGTCGTGTTTGAGCATATTAGCATTTGTTTAATACTAATCAACTGATTACGTATTTCGAAGTTGTGCAAAATATTGTTGCAAGTGAGAGAGATTCCTTTTCTTTTATTTTAGAAATCAGTTTTACTTTTTTAACATCCCTATTTGAAATGTCAGTCCCAAAACCAAAACAGTTGCCTATATTTGTTATTCGAGTTTCGAAAAACTAGGAATGGTGGGGGAGGTATGAAAACATTTTTAATCTTTATCCAGCCACATTATGTGTTCATAAATACAAAAGGAAGCTAGGTTGAGGCTAGGTTATAAAGTATTTCTCCCGCCTTCTTAGCATGCCTTCGTAGTGTGGTGGTCTGCACGTTGGGCGCGTATTCCAGAAGTCTGCGGTTCGATTCCCGGGGAAGGCGTTGCTCATTTTTCACGTCTTATGCTTTCAAAAATACCTAATGTCTCTACAGGGTAATTTGGACTTTTGTGATTCGCCTGTTTCATGCAGAGAAATGCATCTTAGTCATGATGCTTTATGTGCAGAAGCGGACGTAAATTTTTGTCAAACAGTCAAGCAGTCGAAAAGACAATAGTCGAAGAGAGAACGATTGACTAAGAAGCTTTAGTCAATCGTTCAAGAAAATGCAATATATGTGGTTACATGATAAAGTTAAATGATGTTTGGGTTTAAAAAGATGTTTCGGTTAAAAAGACGTTAAAGAGATGTTTGGGCTTCACACAGTCCGTCAGAAGAATACAAACTTAATCTTTTAATTACTGTAATTTGTTGTTGCAGTGATATGGTGCAGAATAATCTGTTGATCGTGGGTTGAATGGATTATGATAAAGCGTCCTTTATGGCAATCGAAAACGTAAAAAACAATGACTGTCTTCCATTCAGATCCTATTAACTACCCCAAAGATTACAGTGTAGGAAAATACTGTTGGTGGAATACTTTGGTGGAATACTCTGGGTTCATTTCATCTTAAGGTGCTAGAGCAAGGTAAAATCATAACTGCAGACTTTTATTGCCAACAAATAGATGGGGTAAACCAAAGTTTGATTAAAAAGCATCCAGCCCTTGCTATCAGAAAAGGCTTCCTTTAGCATCATGACCAATGCTAGATCACACACTGCAAGAAACATTCTGGATTATATTATAAGATATTTCTTCCGCCTTTTTAGTAAGCCTTCGTAGTGTAGTGGTCAGCATGCTAGGCTCATATTCCAGAGGTCCGTGGTTCGATTCCCGGCAAGGGCGTTGCTCATTTTCATCACTCCTGCTTTAAAAATAACCAAATGACTTTACAAAGGCGCCCGAACTAAAAAGGTGGTGAATGATGATTCTCCACACCCAGGATTTGGCGACTAGGTCCCCTGAGAAACCCCAGTCGCTTTTTAAAAGGTGGAGTATATAAGCTATTTTTCCCGCCTTCTTATAAAGCCTTCGTAGTGTAGTGGTCAACACACTGGGCGCGTATTCCAGAGGTCCGTGGTTCGATTCCTGGCGAGGGCGTTGCTCATTTTTCCTCATTCCTTCTTTAAAAATAACCTGACTCTACAATATAAAAAATTAGGATTGATAGTATTACTTCACTCACCGTATTTGCCTGATATCATAAACTCTGATTATGATTTACTCAGGTCGTTGCAACATTTCTTTAAAAAAAAAATCTGATGTGTACACCACATGACTTCCTTGTACGGAATATTAAATTATACGCATTTTTCTTGCATTTTATTTAAACTTATTAAATTGAATTAAACCTACTTCGCCGACAGCGCATAAACCACAATAGAATAAATGCATTCTCTAAAATTCACTTTGTTTACCATAGCGACACTCTGGCGCTAGGTTTATTTCATTCATATTATAACTCAGAATGAACAAAATGTATATCATTTAAAGAATTATCTAATCGTTGCCACATGTTCTATTCAAATACTATAATAAAGCTAGAACTATGTATAAAAGAAATTAAGCAAATAAAACAAAAACGAAACAGTTTTTCACAGACGATTGAGTATTTCTCACTTAATTAATTCAATTCTTACTTCGCGAGAAGGCAAAAATACATAAAAACTCAAAATATCTATATTAAAAATTACGAAGTAAATCTCAAACGCTTATTTCCTCGAAAAAATTCCAGAAAGAATTAAGCATGATTTAATTGGCAGTAATAAATGAATGCGTTATCTTTGTTGTTGTGAAGCTAAGTTTCTCTAGATTGGCAACAAATCCACTAGTCTCCTGTTTCAAATGTAAACATCAATGGCCGCCATTAAAACAGGCTTAGCGGCAATTAAACAACTTTAAAATTGTCGATAATTCTAAAAATATTGCACACAGATTTACTAAAGGCATAAAATCCTTAACCGGAAGATAAAAACAACATAATTCAATCATTTTTAAAGCAAAAAATGTACAATTTACAAACATATAAGAATAAAGAAACTGAGATCACTGAGCCGGGTAATAGAGTGGATATATATACATATATATATATAAATATATTTATATACGTTTGGTGCGGCAAATTGCAACCAAAATACGAGGTGCACATCTACATGTTATAGCAGTCCTATATACAACATTCCAACGTTCTGAGGCTACTTGTTTTTGAGTTATGCGAGATACGTACGTACGCACGTACGTACATACGTTCGTACAGACGCCACGAAAAATTCTCTTCTGAATTAATTTTAAAGCAGTTTTATAATTTTTTTGAAGGAAAAGAGTATTTTATTCTGTCCTTACGTACAGATATCACGCAAAAACATCGTTAAATTGCATTCGATAGCGGTCAAAATGGATATTTTCGTTGAAATATGCTGCCTGAAACTTTTCGCGATTACAATACTTCCTTTTTACTTCGTACAAGGAAGTAAAAAGAATATAGAAAATTTCGAAAAAGGATTCCAAATATAGAAATAGTCAAAAATGGGATTTCCAATTTTGTGATCAAAAACCATCTTTGTTCTATTGATCCGAAACTGAAACTTTGCCAACTAGATGACAAAACATCATTGATTATTAAAATCTATTATTTGTTTTATTTTGATGGAAACATTAGTTTTAGCCCCCTTATTTTTGTTATAAATGATATAACAGCTGTTAAAATTCAAGGTTTACACGTAAGGCATTAAAACATATTTATTTGAAAAATAAAAACATTTTTAATAAAAGAGTATATTCCAGTAATAATTGTAGTACTCTAGTAATAATTATAAACAATAAGGATAACTTTCAAATATAAATCAATCCTAGGAAATTTTTATGAACTTTTATTTATCAAAAGTTAATTTTGAAAAACACTTATTTAGTTTCAGTTTCATTAAATGAACGTTTCTAATAATGTATTTTTTTCATACAATAATGAACATCATATAGTATGGAATATATAAAAACAATATTAACATCACATGTATTCAACTTCTGCATAAGGAAATTAATAAATATGTTGGTAAATTATTGCAAATAGATGTGGCGTTGATATTTTTCAATGCGTAGTTTAACCGAATAAAAATATTTTTCATTGCTCGGCTTATGTAGGTGCTATTTCTGGATTTATTATTGATTGTTATATCTTAATTTAAGATCTAATCAATAGAATAATTTTATTTTTCATTAATTACGATATTTTGAATCATCTTGTAGAGTCATTAGGATTTTTTTAGAGGCAGAAAAGATATATGGTCACTTTACTTAACCTGTTCCGCCAAACTGAGTTAATGGCACTACAGGGTTAGGAAGTCATCCTAGTCATTGCTAGCAATCTGACGGTTAGGCCGCCTTTCTACATTTTACTTTAATCTGTAGTTTCTTGGATATAATTATTTTCATTCACTTGCTTCATTATCTCTAAGATGCCCTTGTTGCAGTAATAGTCCGTGAACAGTCTCTTCACAGGATATGTGATGTAGTCGGAAGGAAAGAACTGCTGTTGAAGGTGCTCTGTCAGAGGGCAGGAGAGCAGGTAATGAAGTGCGTCCGCGTCTTCCCCGCGAAAACCGCAAGAACAGTTGACGTCCCGTCTGAGGAAACGTCTGTAATACGCTGGGAATTTCCCGTGGTTGGTACAGGCTTGGAGGAAGAGTCGGTTGCATTTCAGCCTCTTGAGAGAAGGTATTGGGAAGATGTTGTAAGCAAATCTTCCTGTCTCTTCTTCCTGCCATCGTGATGACCATGTCTCTTGAAATGCTGTCTTGAGGAGCCTTTTTGCAACTTCTGCGGAAAGCGGAACTTCCTTGTCAATTTCTGGTTTGAGAGCTGCAGTCTTAGCTAGTTCATCCGCTCGTTCGTTTGCCTTTCTGCTGCCCGGTATGTCCTTTTACCCAGTTGATCTTTAAAGGTATGGAAGAGCCTAACGTCAAGAAGATCTCTCTAAGTGCTGCCGTGTGCGGATGTTTTGGAGGAAAGGAATTCAGCGCATTCAGAACGCTCATGCTATCTGTGAAGAATGAAGTGTGAGCTGCTGGTGAAAGATGAAAAACAGCAAACGCCTTCGCCGGGAATCGAACCACGGACTTCTGGAATACCATCCCAGCGTGCAGAACCACTACACTACGAAGGCACGCTAGGGAAGTGGGAGAAATACCTTATAATCTGACTTAAAATTCTTCTTTCTTTAGCTACGATCCAAAGCAATTTTTTTTTTGCTGATTTTCGTTAGAAGATTCGATTCATAAATTCTAGAAATGATATAAAGGGTATCCCAAAACTAACGCAAGATTTGAATTAAATAAAAAACACAGTTTGTTTCTTTAAATTGTTTTTTTTTTTTTTTTTTATTGAATCGTAAAGTACATAGGATAGGATTATGTGTGGAATAACACATCAGGAAAATGGTCTCCACGGCTTTGCTGTCACATAGGCTCTCTGTTGTCGAGATTTTCCATGACCATTTTGCATAAATGTGGCTGAATTTCGTTGATGTTGCGTTGAATTTCCTCCTTCAATGCACGCGTGCTTTTGGGCTTGTTGGCATAGACCTTTGACTTCAAATAACCCCACAGAAAGAAATCCAATGGTGTTAAATCACAGGACCTAGGGGTCCGATTCTCATCACCAAAACGAGAGACTACATGGACAGGAAATGTCTGATGCAGTACAGTAAAACCCCGCTTAACGCGGGGGATACGTTCCATCGAAGTAGAGCGTAATGCGAAACAGCGCTAAGAGAGGCTATCTTAACATGTAAATAATGGGGTTAGGGGAAGACGGATAAAAAATGGTTAGGCATTAAATTTAATAATGTTTTTTAATAAAAATAAAATCAAACATTTATTTCTTACAAAAATAAAAACAATATAAACGCATATACTTTTAAAAAACAAATAAAATTCCTCAGTCAGATCATTCAGTCTATTCTGGGTTTCCAATTTTTCTGCCTTTTTGTCAAGAAGGCATTATGATAGATTGGCTTAAGGGCATATTGCGTTCAATTTCGTCGTCAATCCATATAGACAGTCGTTTTTTTTCCATTTCCTCTATAATGTTATTTCTAGAACGGGTAATTCTAGTTGCAGAGCTTGACGTAGTTGCAGTTGCCGATGACAGTATTTATTTTTTCTTTATTCTTAAGAATTGTCCTTATTGTTGAAGTTGCCAAAATCAATGCAGCGCTAATTTGAGATTGACGTTCATTCACCAGAATCTGATCTTCTAATCACTTGCATTTGAGTTTCCAGTGAAATGCTTTTTTCTGGTTGCTTTTCTTTTCTTGTTTTTTTTATTATCACCCATGATAAAAACTAAAGATCATAATATTTGTCACTGTATTACTCGTTATAGTATTATACAAATTTAAACTTACAATAATGTCAACAAATGTTTCAAATGATAAAAATGCGTCCACAAAGCAAGAAACACAACTACACTGTTTCGGATATGTTATTTGGAAACCTAGCGCTGCGCACAATTTCGGAGAATCCCCGGGTTGAAATAAAAGAGCGCTAAACCGAAACAGCGCTAAACGAAACAGCGTTAAGCGTGGTCTTACTGTAATTGAATTGTTTGACTGGTTGTATGGCATGTGGTACCAACTTGTTGAAACCACATCATTGTCTTCCACATCAATATCATCCAATTTAGGCAGAAATAACTGTGTTATTATGTCGCGATAACGAGCACTAATAATATTCACTGCTTCACCAGTTTTTTTTTATGGTTCAATGATGCCTCCAGCCCATAATCCGCACCCAACAGTGACATGTTGAGGATGCATTTGTTTTTGACAATCACATGTGGGTTCTCTGAAC